GGGGGGGACAGGCTCACCCCTCCTTGGAATACATTTCTGGGTTAATCATGATTGGATGTGGTCCTGGTTGGATTTGGTTGGATACACACACAATTCTGTTCATTTGCCCTTGTAGTCTGACACCGGCTTCAACAGAGAAAGTTGATTCTAGCAAAAAATGAAACACATAAAAAACAAAAACACAATCAAAACACAGAATCGCCAAAAACAACCCGACAAGATTCACCAGAAAAAACACAACAAAAACAAAAAACAAAAGCCACAAAAACAATCTTGACTAGTTTTGATTATTTAGTGTTTTCCTAGTTTGTTTTTTTTTGTGTGCTCTGGTTGTGTATTTTTTAAACCGCTATATTCTTTATGCTGTTCGACTCAAAAGCCTGGTATACAAAAAGGATCAAAACAAACTCCTTACAGTAATTTTTGGCTCGAGAGAAAAAGAAGAGTCAAAAATGTATGAAAGGAAGGGGGGACAGGCCCACCCCTCCTTAGAATACATTTTCTGAATTTCTGGGTTGGACCTATGGTTGGATATGGTTGGATACACACACCATCCAATCAAATCCTTTTGTATGTCCTTGTATACAAACAAATACTACCGTACATATTTTTTTGGATCAAAGGAAAAAGAAAGTTCGAAAATGTATGAATGGGGGGGGGACAGGCTCACCCCTCCTTGGAATACATTTCTGGGTTAATCATGATTGGATGTGGTCCTGGTTGGATTTGGTTGGATACACACACAATTTTGTTCATTTGCCCTTGTAGTCTGACACCGGCTTCAACAGAGAAAGTTGATTCTAGCAAAAAATGAAAAACATGTCAAAAACGCAATCAAAACACAGAATCGCCAAAAACAACCCGACAAGATTCACCAGAAAAACAACAAAACAAAAAAAAACACAAAAACAGCAAAAAAATCAATCAAAACCTGGAGTTTGACAAGTGTTGATTATTTTGTGTTTTCCTAGTTTGTTTTTTCTGTGTGCTCTGGTTTTGTATGTCTTAAACCCTGTATTCTTTATGCTGTTCGGCTCTTTCGGCTCAACAAGCGAGGGGTGTGGCCAAAAAAGGCTTTCGGAAGAACGGCGACCGGCAAATTAAACATGTTCTTTTTTTCAGTTCAGCAACTTGGGTGTCTAGAAAACATGAAGAGTATAAAACTAAGGGGGCAGTGAATTCCAGCTGACCTATGAATATCCAAAATAGACACACGCACGTAAAATGTATAAACCGGGGGGCTCATGGAACACTGAGGAATCCTGGGGTTGCCCACGGAATGGTTGGCCAACACGTACGTAAAAAGTATAAAGGCTCAGGGGTTTAAAACCCCTAGGAACCCCAGGAATTCCAAAACCTCTGCAAAATGTATCAAACTGGGGGGAGGGTGGTTCGAACTGCCTTTGTCCACCCCATCCATCTTCCACCCCCCCCCCGCGAACGCTACGTGGTATATAATTTTTTTCCCTGGGGAACCCTAGGAAGAAACACGTAAAAAGTACATTTTTGGCAGCGTACACCCCCCCTCTCTTGTACTTTTTTAGGGGGTGGGTGATTATATATATATATATATAGTGTTGATACGTCTGAACACGTTGGATGCCCCAAGATTGCAATTGCCAAAGGAAAATGATGGCAGGCACTGGTAAATACTATCTATCAATGAATCAAGTTTTTTTGGGTGCCATAATTTCAGACAAACCAACATCTGATCCAATCCCCTTCTATCAAATCAACCCAAGAAACCCTGGAGTTCTGGATGAATACTTGGGTCCGATTATTTACCCGGCACTTTTTTTGGGCATCGAATGAATGGATTTGTCTGAAAAAGATATCCCAAATCAACCAGCTTAATTATCGTCGAATCGTGGTTTATCAGTTTATCATTATTTTCCAATATTCAAATTGTCATTTTTGGGGCATACCTGTAATACATCTCCATTAAAAAAAACAAATCCTCACCATATCCTAGAACATCCCCATTATGATTGCCCTTCCTTGTTTTAATTCTATTCCATGACAAGACTCCGCCAGGCACCTGCCTTCCCACAAGCACTCACCAGACTGCCGCAACTCACAATGTCCTCAGGAACTTTCCCTGGGCTTATGATCCATTGAAATGTAAAATTACATACTTACAAGGTGGCCCAAAGGTGGCCCCAAAAAGCCAAGTTGCTTTACAACTTTGTGAACGCCAAGGTTTACGGGGAATATCACTGATATAACCAGAGTTTAAAACAGTTTACCAACTGGGGTCACACCTTCTAAGAACCTAATTTGATCATCTCGTTGGGACCATGCTGAAATCTTTCAGGCGGTCATGAATATTGGATAAACTCTCAGAGCTAGGCACCCTCCGCCGCACGATATATTTATCTCTTTATTTATTAAATCATCTATTTACTTATTAATATATATATATATGTGTATATACCAGGATAGAGATATACCGTTAAAAACAAAGTTAGAATGCGGTTTTGGCTTCGCGTGATGGTGGCCCGTTTGGCCCCCCCCCCACGGCAGTCGCATTCTAACCGAGGAAACACCTGTAAATATGCAGAAACACAGTTAGAATGCGGCGCCAAAATTGGTAAGAAAATGTAAGTTTTGACTGGTATTTTACAGGCGAAATACAGTTAGAATGCCTCCTCCTTTTCTTCTATATTGTTCCTTGCCCTTCCTTTTCTTCTATGTCTTTTTCATTGATCTATATCTGCTGTAGTTTCCGGGGGGGCATTTTATCTGTTGTTTTTCTACTGTAGCCACATTTCTGACCCGCAGGGAACCTGGAGTGCCCTTGTCTCTTTTCCGATCTTATCCGCTTCCCTTTCCTTGTCCTTTTGTTTCTATAATGTTCCTTTCCCTTCCTTTTCTTCTATGTCTTTTTCATTGATCTATATCTGCTGTAGTTTCCGGGGAGGCATTCTATCTGTTGTTTTCCCTGCTGTAGCCATATGTTTCTGACCCGCAGGGAACCTGGAGTGCCCTTGTCTCTTTTCCGACCTTATCCTCTTCCCTTTTTTCCTCCTTTTCTTCTATATTGTTCCTTTCCCTTCCTTTTCTTCTATGTCTTTTTAATTGATCTATATCTGCTGTAGTTTCCGGGGAGGCATCTATCTGTTGTTTTCCCTGCTGTAGCCATATGTTTCTGACCCGCAGGGAACCTGGAGTGCCCTTGTCTCTTTTCCGACCTTATCCTCTTCCCTTTTCTCGTCCTTTTCTTCTATATTGTTCCTTACCCTTCCTTTTCTTCTATGTCTTTTTCATTGATCTATATCTGCTGTAGTTTCCGGGGAGGCATTCTATCCGTTGTTTTCCGCACTGTAGCCATATGTTTCTGACCCGCAGGGAACCTGGAGTGCCCTTGTCTCTTTTCCGACCTTATCCTCTTCCCTTTTCTCCTTCTTTTCTTCTATATTGTTCCTTACTCTTCCTTTTCTTCTATGTCTTTTTCATTGATCTATATCTGCTGTAGTTTCCGGGGAAGCATTCTATCTGTTGTTTTCCGCGCTGTAGCCATATGTTTCTGACCCGCAGGGAACCTGGAGTGCCCTTGTCTCTTTTCCGATCTTATCCTCTTCCCTTTTCTCCTCCTTTTCTTTTTTTTGGTTCCTTAATTACTCTTCCTTGTCTTCTGTCTTTTTCATTGATCTATATCTGCTGTAGTTTCCGGGGAGGCATTCTATCTGTTGTTTTCGCCACTGTAGCCATATGTTTCTGACCCGCAGGGAACCTGGAGTGCCCTTGTCAAATTTTCCGATCTTATCTCTTCTCTTTTCTCCTCCTTTTCTTCTGTATTGTTCTTTACCCTTCCTTTTCTTCTATGTCTTTTTCATTGATCTATATCTGCTGTAGTTTCCGGGGAGGCATTCTATCTGTTGTTTTCCCCACTGTAGCCATATGTTTCTGACCCGCAGGGAACCTGGAGTGCCCTTGTCTCTTTTCCGACCTTATCCTCTTCCCTTTTCTCCTCCTTTTCTTCTATATTTTTTCCTTACCATTCCTTTTCTTCTATGTCTTTTTCATTGATCTATATCTGCTGTAGTTTCCGGGGAGGCATTCTATCTGTTGTTTTCCCTGCTGTAGCCATATGTTTCTGACCCGCAGGGAACCTGGAGTGCCCTTGTCTCTTTTCCGATCTTATCCTATTCCCTTTTCTCCTCCTGTTCTTCTATATTGTTACTTACCCTTCCCTCTCTTCTATGCCTTTTTCATTGATCTATATCTGCTGTAGTTTCCGGGGAGGCATTCTATCTGTTGTTTTCGCCACTGTAGCCAGATGTTTCTGACCCGCAGGGAACCTGGAGTGCCCTTGTCTCTTTTCCGATCTTATCCTCTTCCCTTTTCTCCTCCTTTTCTTGTATATTGTTCTTACCCTTCCTTTCTTCTATTCGTTTTCATTGATCTATATCTGCTCTAGTTTCCCCTGGGAGGCAATTCTATCTGTTGTTTTTCCGCACTGTAGAAGCCATATGTTTCTGACCCCCCGGGAACCTGAGTGGCCCTTGTCCTCTTTTCCGACCTTATCCTCATTCCTTTTCTTCTCCTTTTCTTCTATTTGTTGCCTTCCCTTCCTTTTTTCTTCTATGTCCTTTTTATTGAATCTATTCTGCTGTAGTTTCCGGGCAGGCATTCTATCTGTTGTTTTCCGCACTGTAGCCATATGTTTCTCACCCGCATGGAACCTGGAGTGCCCTTGTCTCTTTTCCGATCTTTTCCTCTTCCCTTTTCTCCTCCTTTTCTTCTATATAGTTCCTTACCCTTCCTTTTCTTCTATGTTTTCTTCATTGACCTATATCTGCTGCTGTTTCCGGGGAGGCATTCTATCTGCTGATTATCTGCTGTTTTCCCCACTGTAGCCATATGTTTCTGACCCGCAGGGAACCTGCAGTGCCCTCGTCTCTTTTCCGACCTTATCCTCTTCCCTTTTCTCCTCCTTTTCTTCTATATTTTTTCCTTACCCTTCCTTTTCTTCTATGTCTTTTTCATTGATCTATATCTGCTGTAGTTTCCGGGGAGGCATTCTATCTGTTGTTTTCGCCACTGTAGCCATATGTTTCTGACCCGCAGGGAACCTGGAGTGCCCTTGTCTCTTTTCCGACCTTATCCTCTTCCCTTTTCTCCTCCTGTTCTTCTATATTGTTCCTTACCCTTCCTTTTCTTCTATGTCTTTTTCATTGATCTATATCTGCTGTAGTTTCCGGGGAGGCATTCTATCAGTTGTTTTCCCCACGGTAGCCATATGTTTCTGACCCGCAGGGAACCTGGAGTGCCCTTGTCTCTTTTCCGATCTTATCCTCTTCCCTTTTCTCCTCCTTTTCTTCTATATAGTTCCTTACCCTTCCTTTTCTTCTATGTTTTCTTCATTGACCTATATCTGCTGCTGTTTCCGGGGAGGCATTCTATCTGCTGATTATCTGCTGTTTTCCCCACTGTAGCCATATGTTTCTGACCCGCAGGGAACCTGGAGTGCCCTTGTCTCTTTTCCGACCTTATCCTCTTCCGTTTTCTCCTCCTTTTCTTCTATATTGTTCCTTACCCTTCCTTTTCTTCTATGTCTTTTTCATTGATCTATTTCTGCTGTAGTTTCCGGGGAGGCATTCTATCTGTTGTTTTCCCTGCTGTAGCCATATGTTTCTGACCCACAGGGAACCTGGAGTGCCCTTGTCTCTTTTCCGACCTTATCCTCTTCCCTTTTCTCCTCCTTTTCTTCTATATTGTTCCTTACCCTTCCTTTTCTTCTATGTCTTTTTCATTGATCTATATATATCTGCTGTAGTTTCCGGGGAGGCATTCTATCTGTTGTTTTCCCCACTGTAGCCAGATGTTTCTGACCCGCAGGGAACCTTGAGTGCCCTTGTCTCTTTTCCGACCTTATCCTCTTCCCTTTTCCCTTCCTTCTCTTCTATATTTATCCTTGCGCTTCCTTTTCTTCTATGTCTTTTTCATTGATCTATACCTGCTGTAGTTTCCGGGGAGGCATTCTATCTGTTGTTTTCCCCACTGTAGCCATATGTTTCTGACCCGCAGGGAACCTGGAGTGCCCTTGTCTCTTTTCCGACCTTATCCTCTTAACTTTTCTCCTCCTTTTCTTCTATATTGTTCCTTACCCTTCCTTTTCTTCTATGTCTTTTTCATTGATCTATATCTGCTGTAGTTTCCGGGGAGGCATTCTATCTGTTGCTTTCCCCACTGTAGCCATATGTTTCTGACCCGCAGGGAACCTGGAGTGCCCTTGTCTCTTTTCCGACCTTATCCTCTTCCCTTTTCTCCTCCTTTTCTTCTATATTGTTCCTTAATTACTCTTCCTTCTCTTCTATGTCTTTTTCATTAATCTATATCTGCTGTAGTTTCCGGGGAGGCATTCTATCTGTTTTCCGCAGGGAACCTGGAGTGCCCTTGTCTCTTTTCCGATCTTATCCTCTTCCCTTTTCTCCTCCTTTTCTTCTATATTGTTCCTTACCCTCCCTTTTCTTCTATGCCTTTTTCATTGATCTATATCTGCTGTAGTTTCCGGGGAGGCATTCTATCTGTTGTTTTCCCCATTGTAGCCATATGTTTCTGACCCGCAGGGAACCTGGAGTGCCCTTGTCTCTTTTCCGATCTTATCCTTTTCCCTTTTCTCCTCCTTTTCTTTTATATTGTTCCTTACTCTTTCTTTTCTTCTACGTCTTTTTCATTGAACTATATCTGTTGTAGTTTCCGGGGAGGCATTCTATCTGTTGTTTTCCCCACTGTAGCCATATGTTTCTGACCTGCAGGGAAACTGGAGTGCCCTTGTCTCTTTTCCGACCTTATCCTCTTCCCTTTTCTCCTCCTTTTCTTCTATATTGTTCCTTACCCTTCCTTTTCTTCTATGTATTTTTCATTGATCTATATCTGCTGTAGTTTCCGGGGAGGCATTCTATCTGTTGTTTTCCCCACTGTAGCCAGATGTTTCTGACCCGTAGGGAGCCTGGAGTGCCCTTGTCTCTTTTCCGACCTTATCCCATTTCCTTTTCTCCTCCTTTTCTTCTATATTGTTCCTTACCCTTCCTTTTCTTCTATGTCTTTTTCATTGATCTATATCTGCTGTAGTTTCCGG